CAAGCCATATAGTTGGTTAAAAGAACTTGCGATAAAGCACATAATTGCAGAAAAGGTGAACAATGAAGACAAAACCAATTATGTAAGACAGATAAAAGAATCATAACTGTCCGTTGCTTGCTCCATGGTTCATCACACGATAAAATCATACTCTAAAACCAACGCTTGCCCGCACACAAGGAACAAAACCCAATCATCAGCTGCGAAAAAACCCTCAAAGATAAAAATAAGCCACAATTTCATGAAAATTGCAAACCAACTTTTCAACATAGTTACAACTGAAAAAAGGGCAAGGCAAGAAGTATTAAACCCAAGAGCAAACAAAGAACCAACTCCCGACTATGCTTGATTGCCGCCACCCCTGGGCCCACCACGGCCTCCCATCCTTCCACGGCCTCGTGCAAAGCCTCTGCCGCCGCCACCTCGGCCCCTTCCATATCCATCACCTGCTAGCAGTTGATAGATACATGTTATAATAATAATCCCAAACGAGCATTAATCCTTGCAATCCAAACATTTTTCTAAAATATCCAATGCACTAATGCCAAGTTTTTTTGTATCATCTCAAGTTCCATTTACAAAGTACACCCTACATAAGGAGCAGTGTTGTCAAATGGCTGTGGCAGATTTTTTACAATCCACCATGCTAAATTTGTGACGGATTGTAGTTATGGCTATTGCAGAATTTTGGCAAACCGCCATTATTAAAAAAGGTAAAGAGTGACATGTAAAACAAACACAAAACTCAGAAAGACAAAAGTAACATTACTGGGGACCAGGATATTAGTAATTTATCATAAGAGGGGAGTAGTACATGTAACATGCCAGTGTAGGGTTTTATATTTTATAAGACAACCAAAGTTCTTATAAAGCTAATTCTGTAACTATAACAAAATATGGCCTGCCAAACAATACAAGAAAAGTACATAACCTGGAACCAAATGAAGCGTTGTCAAAACAAAGAGATTACCAAAATCTACTTCACCAATTTAACAAGCATTTTAACAAAAGAAAAAAGATGTAATCTTCCGAAATTAAAAATTAAATAGTTCAACTAACCTCGATAGCCCCAACCCCCACGCCCGCCACCTCTCCCCCAGTTAGAATATCCACCAGAGTAGCCACCACGATAACCCCCATTTCCACCTGAGTAGCCACCCTGATATCCACCATTACCACCGGAATACCCACCTTGATATCCACCATTTTCTGCCAAAATAATAATATCAAAGAATTAGAGAGGNAAGCATTAATAGTAGCCCAATTCTGCTAATTCATAGCTCAAATAAGTACCTCGGTAGTTAGAATATCCGCCTCTGTTCCAGCCTCGGCCCCTCCCTCTACCACGTCCTCTTCCCCATCCATATGTATCTAGAAAATCAAAGATGTGTGAAAATCATTTGTCGTCTACAGTGATTATTTAAGATATAAAGTTATCATGATTGAATAATTTTTATGTACCTCCATTACCAGAGTTGTAACCTCCATGTGCTTGTCTAGGAGGCTGGCGTTGTTGAGGTGGATAATCGTACTGCTGTCTACTTTGATCTGTGTTTGATGGAGCTTGGTATCTGGATCGAGCATACAAGCCCATTGCAAATGAGAAAGAAGATAGTTAAAGAACAAATTCTACACCAAAATCGCCAAACAAGCCCCCTCCTACCTTATCATTAGAAAGAAACCGTACAATACAGCAACCAAAGTAAGTCAAAGGTTGCAACTTATGACTAAGAGAAGTCTATGGCCATGTGAAGAAACACGAAGCAGCATAATTTAAGTCTTATGCATAATATAGCTTTATCACATAAAAGACTTTCCAGTAAAAAGCAGGGGCAATATTAATGAAGTAAAAAAATTACCCAGGAGAATTCTTGTTAAGCTCTTTCGTAGAGAGGGTGATCGAAATCATTGAGACATGGCGGGTCTGCTCCACACTGTACCAGACATCATAATCCATATGAGGGATTCACAAGCACACCCCCATAAATAAAACATCGAAGAATATAATCAAATGAACAAAAAGGAGATATTGAAATTACGTCTGAAGGCCTTCCTCAATGGGTTCAAAGGTATCTGTTATGCTCACTGAACTGATAGCGGTGTCCTGATGAAGCCGAGGAACCCTTCTCTGTTTTAAAAGGAAAGCATTTATAAATCTTCACATTGTACAGAAAAGGGAGAATGTAGAAATATGGGTCGGAGCCTGAAATAGCCACCTTTACGATTTCTGCAACAGCCACAGTCTTGCTTATAGCCTGACCCATTGCTTTTAAGACAATCTCTCTTACTCTTCGTTCCTGGTGAAAAGATAAGTAAAACATCATAAATTATTTCAGTTGAAGAAGATGCAAAAACAGACATCTATAAAATCGACCAAGATCTATGGAGCAAAGTTCATCAAAAAGATACTTTTCACGAACTAAAGCCCTGTACAAAAGAAGGCAACATAATAACCTCATAAAGCAATCGAGTTACACTTTTATGTACCAAATTTTGATAACTATTAACAGAAATCATGGAATGCAGCAACCTAGAAACTTCGATTAGCTGAACAGTTCCACTCAAAAGCAGCCCATATCAAGACCAATGACTTTGGTAACTTACCAGTAACTTTGTGGGCTTGATATACAAAATAGCTAGTACACTCTCAAATGCTTTATGCTTGGGTTGCTTGGAGGTTATATCAAATATTTCCCATTAAATATGTGCTACAAGCTACATCTGACCTAATCTAAAATGAAAAATAATCTTTGTCAACTGCACTCTCTTCACAACATATGGGTATGGTTATTTAAGTCATGATCCCAACAAATTAGTCGGATGTATATTTTCCAAGCAAATCAGGAAGGAGTGGTTCTACAGAACTCAACGTCCAATATTAGAAAGTAAAGTTTTAGTGAGCCGGAACGAATCAACACAATTTACTATAAAAATTGTTACACGGAGAAGTGTATGAATATGACACCTTGTTCATCTGAGGTAGTTGAGCCAGAAATAAGAGACATATTTAGTATTCTCCAATAATCTAAAAAAACGATACAAGGTAACAGAAAAGAAAGAGAAGGCAGAAGTGAGGCATTAGACAACTTAATACACGGTAATTACAACATAAACATAAACTAAGGTAACCTCAAGGCCAACACACGCCAAGAGAAGTAAAATCCTATGGGAGAACCAAAAATTACCCCGTCATCAAACCATCGCATGTCACAATGCAGACAAGGTAAATTAACCAGCCATTGAAGAAACATGCCATAACAAAGAGTACGAGCCATATAAACAGAAAAGTAACAAATATAANTGTAGTTACGAACCAAGCCCTGTGAAGTAATGCGGATTTCATTCTGATTTACTGGAGATTCAGGCTTTGGCTTCTGCACCTTCTGATATCTGTCCATCCTTTTTTGTCCCCCTTGGCCGAAATCGTAAACCCTAAAAACCCTAGAGAGAGAAATAGAAAGGGTAATTATTTCGGTGTATCACTATCAAGCATACATTTCGCGTTATATAACCTTATATTTTAGGGGAAATCTGCAGCACACAGGTTAGGCTGAGCCGCTGAGGGAAGGGATGCTCTGATCTCTGCGAATGTTTGGGCTTCTATTGCAGATTTGAAAAGCCTCTTCTGGACATAAGGGTACGGGCTCAAGATGGGCTGTGGTTTCAATTTATTGTTTGGTTATAATATATTTTCTCTTGAGATTGTCAAACAATTCTAACAAAAAATTATATCATTTATCTTTAAATTTCATACATCTATATATATATAAAAAAAAGTTTGATTATTTTACAAATAGTAACTATTTCTCTCCAAAAAAAAATTATTTACTATTTTGGGAAATGAATTTAATAATTTTTGGTATATTTTAAATGATCACTTATGGAAATTGCGACTCATTATTTAAGGAAGTAATTAAGCCATATTTTAAGATATCTTAATCACTCAAATCATGTGAACTAATTAATATATAGTATATAGTGGATGAATTTTGGTATTGATGGTTGTTTCTATGGGAAATAAATTAATCAATATATAGTACAAAGTGAGTAAATTTATTTAGGTAATTTGATAACTGTTTTTTATAGGAAATTTGTTGAAAAATTAATCAATATACGGTCTACATTTTTCTGTAATGCGCAAGCTAATATATTGGTTTTTAGGCGTGGGTTTCAATTTTTATTTCAATTTTTCATATGAAATTAACATAATAAAATTACAGTAACTCCAACAAAATAATATGAACTGGTATTTTGATATAATGTGTGTGTATCGATATTTTTTTTATAGAAAAATCATTGGACAATTTTTTTATTTTTTTTGTATAATTAGTGGGTCTCGATTTAATTCATTTTTTGTTATAACATGTCAAATAATTTTTGTGTGAAATGCACTGTTTATTTTTTTAGCATGATAAAGAAAGTCGATTTTTTTGGCATAAAAATCTTATGACTGATTGTTTTTACTCACCTACTTAAATTTTTTGATTTGAATATTTTATACAAAAGTAAATTCATTTTAATTAATTAAACGATATAAGTTTTATATTATACTTATTATTCACATAGGTTTTTAAATATATGATAAAATTCTACCAAAATAATTATTTTATGGAATTACGTTATAGTCAAATCGAATTTGTGCATAAAAATTTTGAAATGACACATATTTTGAAATGAATATAATGTAATTTATTATCAATTATGTACGGCGCACGAGATGTGTACTAATTTTAAATAGATATTTTTATGTATTTTGCATAATTTAAATTTTATATAATATTTTAAATAAATTATATAGGTACATTGTATTACATATTGATTCCATGTTTATAATTTATAAATATTATTTAATGATAATTTTTAATTTATAAATATTAATTAATATCTATTACCCGTGCATTGCATGAGATTCCTACTAGTTTATATAACAAAGTTTTTATTTTAATTACAAGTATGCTAACTTTACTATGAATGCCTTATTTTTAGCTTACTTTTGTCATTGATTTTTAAATTTCATTCTTTTTTTATTTATGACTAATTTATAGATGGTTTACGTATGGTTTTATTTCGAATGTTGTATATTTGCAATATTTTTCAAAAAGTGTAGTATAAATGTTTTCAAAACGTAACAAGATTAGGATACATATGCTTGTCAGTAAACAAGGATAAAGATGATGATAAATTGTATATAAGTTAGAGTATTTAGATTCTGTAGAGTTGTGATGCTCATACATCATCCCTTTGTATAGGAATGTTACCTTGTTGCCCCAAACTCTGTCCAATTTAGCTGCTTGAGTGCCCGAACTAACTGATAGTACTACACGAGTGCTCGAACTACTCATATATGTTAACCACGTGGTCCTGTTCGCGTGCTCTTCTGATCCTAATTGTATTCTTACTTATATATTATATGGTGTGTTCACATTAGCCTACCTCATTAAGTAACTACTTTGATCATAATTGCACTATTAGTTCGGTTTCTCTCGAACCACGTCGTTCTGACCTTCAATGAGTAAGACTGCCTTTTGGGTCCTATGTTGACCTGTTGGCTCCAGGCCGTCTTTCCATTAGGCTATCTAAGAGTCTTATATCGACCTGTTGTTGAACGGGTTCGCTTGATGGTCACCATCGACGTGGTGGTTTCGCGACCTTTAGTCTTCTTGTTGTCATAACGACCTGCTAGTCCACTTGAATCGGTCAAACAGTCCTTAGGTCTCACACGACCAAATACATACGGGTATAGTATCCCATATCATCTAGTCCACACACACACTGTTAAAGGAATTATAACTTGATCTAAGAGTAGAATCATGTCCTACCAGGTTGTTTTCCCTATTTGTCCCATTTATGTTGCATTTTTCGTTGTCTTTTTGTCTTTCTTTTTTCCCCATATTAGGTCCTTTAGTTGGTTTTTAGTTCGTTTTGTAGTTTATTTTGTGGTTTCTTCTATTTTGGTTTTTCTTGTGTTTTTCGGTCGTTTTTTGATTTTCCTTCGTTGTTGGTGCAGGTTGGAAGTCTCGGGATGATAGTTTTTCAGGAAAATAATAGTCAGGCAGGCGTAATTTAACAGAGGACTTCGTTGGCAACACACAGGAGAAAACAGAATCAGATTCCGAGTTCAGACGAGCGTATACGAGCACAAAACGTAAAGTTGTGCGACATGGACCACGAGATGCCCAGGCGCCGCGCCGTGCCAGCCTCCGCGCATGCCAGTCAGACCCCCACGCCAGTGCCGCGCCACGCCGGGTGCCACGAGATCGACAGAGACTCCAGCGTTCGCTCCTGCCGCGCCGCGAGCTGCTCTGCGCCGTGAAGTCATGGTCTGCCGCGCCCGTGAGGAATAATCCGCGCCGTGAAGCCATGGTCTGCCGCGCCTGTGAGGAATGCTCCGCGCCGTGAAGCCAGCGTCTCCCGCGCCAGAAGCCCTATGCCACGCCGTGAAGAACACCTCTGCCACGCCGCGAGGCCCCATCACGCCACGACCAACACCTCTCCCGCGCCGCGCCACTTCTTCCCACGCCGTGTCACCTGCGGACATATATATATTCGATCGGGGATTCGAGGCAGACATCTTTTCATCGCACACAGAACCTTAAAAACCCTACCTCTACCGTTTCATCGTTCATTATTCATTTTTTTTACCTTTCTTTCATAATTGTGAATGTAGAACAAGGATTTAAACTCGGATTTTGCTATTGTTTTTGGATTCAAGCTTGTTTATCGGATTCAACGTTGGGATTTGTCAATCGTAAGATTTTCTTTTGACTTAATCGTTAAATATGAATTCTTGGGTTGTGATTGCTTTTGTTGATTATTCAATTATGAGTAGCTAAATCCATATGCTAGGGATAGAGAATTGATGTTTTGGAATGGATTGTGATTGTGATGTTTGTTGGTTGTTCTACTTATGCAAGTTGATCTTTTTATAGGGTTTTTCAATTATTTAGCTTGAGTTTTGAGAATTGTTGAAGGGTGACACTTCAACTTCCAATTGTTTCAATTGAATTCGATTAATTCTTGCATGATGTTATTAATTCTAAAAACGGACTAGTAGATTAACTACCCTCTAGTCTAATTTAACCGACTCTTAGAACCGAATGGGGAGGAGTCGATCGAAATAGGCTCGCATAAGCTAGGCTTGTCCGTAACTGTATTGCCTGGGTGTTAAATGAATCGTTAATTTGCCGTTCACGTATGTCATCTTGTTACGAAAAGTTATTGAGGACGAATATCTGAACGAGTAGATTACTCGAATCATTTAGCCGAATGATCACTTGCCCATTAATTGCAATTTGGACCAAAACAGATATCCCCGACTCCCTAGCTTCTTAAATCCTGCATGTTCTTCGTTGTTGCTTGTTAGTTCTATTGCTTTATCTGAATTCTCGTAGTAGTTGATAATTAAAACCAAAACCAATATTTGATTTAGAATGTTTAGGAATTTTATTTTTTTTAATTGTGCTTAAATAAACGTGTAGAGTATTCCGGCTAACCTTCTTTGTGAGACACGACCCGGTGTTTGAATCTTTTGATTCTACTCTGGAAAAATATTTACAACATTCCCCTTCCTTTTAATTAAGGCAACCGATTCAGCCTAGAGACAAGGTGCTCAATTCAAAAATTGAATTCAAACTCCTAACATATTTTCACATCAATCCAATGTCCTTTAAAATCACCTGACACCCTTTCATTCTGACGTAATTGCCTCGAATATTGTCCCATCCTCGGTCAACATGCCCAATAATGTTGTCTTGATCCTATCCATTAGGTTTTAATTTTATCGGATGGTCCTGATCGACCTGCCACTTCAAATTCCATTTGTAATCTTGTTCGCCCCTTTTACCCCGCATCGAACGACTCTACTCAACCTATCTTTCAACTTCCATTTTTAACTCACCCGTCCATTCGACCTACTTCGAACTACTTAGCTCGGCTCACCTCCTTCACTGCATCCATTTTTTATAAATACCTCATTCTTTCTCATTTTTCTCTTTTATCTCTGCTGCAAACTTTCTTACTTATATATTTTTTGCAAACTTTTTGATATTCCTTTTCCACTGCCGATAACCACAGTTTATTTCCATCGTCAATCAAATTCTGACTCAAATATGTAGATGAGTAAGTTATCTTCATTTGTTGTTGGTAAATAATTTATGTTTGTGTTTGTAACTTTTTACTCTTGGCCAATTTACCCTCCTAGAACATTTTTTTTATTTTGTTTTCTTTCTTTTTTACATTCTGCCACGATCAGTGGGGATTTTGTTGATGTTATCATCAATTGACACCTAACCTCACCATCCTCCTCTTCTCCTTCTTTTTCTTCTTCTTCTTCTTCTGTTTCTCTTGAGCTTATCCCTCAACATGTCCTTTTGTCCACTCGACCTCTCCGTCTGGTCGATGAGCCTAAAGAGGATGTCGATTCCTCTCCTTAGTCTGTGCCCGAACCTAGCTCTATCCCTTTTGTACGACCTTTTCCTGATGCTTCTCCCAACATTGACCAACCTATGGTCTCAGTCGCCTGCAAACTTAGCACCTTCCTTCAGTTCAATGTAGACTGATTAGAACACTTTCTGTTTTTAGAGAATTACCAACTGATTAGAGTTCAATCACTCCTTAACCTCTAGATACCTAAACATCCTACAGGATGTTATACCTTCTTCCGCGAGTAGATCGAGGTTGGTCTTAGGTTTTCGATTCACTCCGAGTTGTTTACCATGTGTGACATATACGACTTTTCTATCAACCAACTTCCACCTAACTCTGTTATAATATTAGTAGTTTTTCTCATTCTTTCTTTATTTAGAATAGACTATGTTGACCTCCAATTCTTTAGATACTGTTTTGGGGCTAAACTTTTAAAAGGGAACTTCGTAGATAATAGCTCGTAACCGAGATAATTTTATAAAGGAGCTCTTCTCCAATGTATAGAAAACCAGGTTTTTTCTATGTTTGACCTACCGCACGTTTTCCTTTCTCCTCTGAGTGGCTAACCCAACTGTCTTTCCGACTTGAACTCCCACCCTGAAATGAGACCATCGACCTGTTAATCGCTTCTTGGAGTGCACTTCTGATAAACTCCATCATATTGATCGAGAGCAGCTCTTGTCCCATTGGGGCTTTCCTAAGAGGCTATTCATCCTATTACTGATTTTGGCAGGAACAACAATTATATTTAACTTGTATTTTCATTTCATTTTTTTTATGTGAATTAATTGTTTGTCTTGTGCAGAATCCCTATTTGGCTCCATGAAGTTGACCTCTTCATCATATACAGTAAGGGAGAGGTTCTAGAGACCTCCAGTTTTGGTCAATTCGAAGAGCTCGGTGGTATTGACCCGTTAAAAAAAAATTCACAAGCTAAAAGAAGTTTGAACTCCTACTCATCCTCTACAGAAGACCCACAACCAGAAAAGGTCGAGCTCGACGACCGCCAGTGGGAGCTCGAAGATGGGTTATCGAGCTCCCACTTCCTTTCCACATATCAAGATGGGTTATCGATATCCTCATACTTCATTAAGGTCATACCTTTTGGGGAGATGCTTTATCTTCGACCCCACGCTCTCGAGGTTGCTTCCCTATGTCTTTTCGCCTTTGATTTCTCTTCTCTATGTCTTTGTATATGAACTCCTTCAAGTGACCAGCCTGAATCAGCCTTTCGATCACATCTTTCAAATGTCTGCAGTTTTCTGTTGTGTGACCATAGTCCCAATGAAAGTGACAATACATGCCAGATTTAGGTCGTGTTAGGCCCTCTTTTCTCAACATGGGCCAAGTAATATTGTCTCCGTCCATCCTTTTCTCCATTGTCTTTAGTATCTCGGCCAGGTTCGACCTGAGCAGAGTGTATTTGTCATAGCTGTGACCATCCTTCACTGACCGGCCTCTTCACCTGTCCTCCCTTTTCCCTTTCATTCTCTCTCTTCTCGGCGAGCCTCCTCTCTCATTTTTTACCATAGGTCGAGTTGCCTTCTCGATCTTGGCAAACTCAGCCTCAGATTCCTCCATGTTTATATATTTGGCACATCTTTTTAGGACGTCATCATGTGTTAACGTCGGCTTCTTGGCCAGCTAGCTCCAACACGAGCCAGCTCGCAGACCCCTCGTCAAGCCTCATGTCTTAACCTCCTTTGAAGCATAAGGCACCTCCATACAAGCTTGAGTCTCTCATTGTTCATGTTGCATCACCATAAAGGTAAGATATGTCTACTTCTACTACATGGCACTTGCGAACTGGTTGAGGAATATATTTGTGAAATCTTCAAAATCCCTAACCGATCGCAGGGCAAGCTGATGGAACTAATCCCGATATCCTCCCTTTAAGGTCGCGAAAAACGCTCTGCACCTCACAACATCCACGTAGCCGTGTAGAATGACCATGTTGTAAAATGGCCTCAGATGATGAGATAGGTCAGTAGACCCATCATAAGTGATGTTGAGCTCTCAAAATCCATTCGACAAATCAGCATCTAAGACCTCATGGGCAAAAGGATGTCCATGAGCTCTCCCAACTCTTTTTCCTTGGATCTTGGCTCGCAGCTCCCGAATCTACTATGCCATTCTCTATACTGCTAGGTCGCGGTAAGCTCTTACGGTTGTGTTTTTAGAAAACTCGATCTCCGTCTCTTTCCTTGTAAGGTTTATGTCGGTATGTATACTGAAAGCCCGGCTTTTTGTTAACACTATTCATGTTTGAATGAGAATCATGTTTAATTATACAATTCTATGTTCTGTTGTTTTGTACGAGTATAAATGGTTCATCGCGGATGGACATAAGATCATTTATCAGTAACTTGCGAAACATAAAGAAATTGGTTCACAACCTAGATGGAAAATTGAACAAGCCATCGGAACGGTTGTAGTGTGAACGGTACAGTCGATTTTGACTGAGTAGTTGTAATAGTACATTTGTGTATTGAACGGATCCTAGAGAGAAGTATTTTGTTTCATACTGATTGTCGTAAATGAACTAAGCCTTGACAAATTACTACATTTTCTTAACCCATAGGATATAAAACAAGCACATATATGTAGTAGTTACTACTATGATATTTCATCATGGTGACCTTTATTCTGTCTGGATCAACAACTAGTTGAGTTGGGCAATAATCTGAATGCATTGCGTGTTGTTAAAATATTTATGGTCACTATGTGCCTCAGTTTAATAATGTTTTCGAAGTGAGATCAAAAGGATTTTTATATTATAATTATAAATATAAAATTTATACATATAATTTATTTTTATTAGAAGGATTAACTAGATTTTTTTTTTTTTCGCAGCTCGCCTCAGACGCTACTACGACTAGCATGTCTGCCGATTAAATTTTCTACCACTATTTTACAGTTTTTCCTCCACCGTTTGGAACGTGGCACCGTCTCTTTCATTTCTCCCTCTATACGTCTCCACTAGCCTTCTCGCTTACTCTCTGTGGTCTACACTTAAACTTATACATACCTGTTTCAAGGATTAATTGCAGATCTGGATCAAGCGCGGGCTCGGCCGGAGGCGGTGGTGCCGCCGACGGCAAAGGCTGATGAAGCGAGTTCTTCCTCTAGTTCTGAAGAAATTTCCGTCAAGATCGAGGAAGATGCCCCTGTGGATAGTAGCGGCAGAGCCGCAGCCCCGGATCCGCTCCCTAATGGCGACGGCAGCGTCAACTCTTCCGGTGAGTCGTAGTTTTCTATTGGCAACTGAAGTTGATGAATTGTGCACTTGAAGTTCGGATGAGTTGGGTGATGAGATTTCGTCATCGTCTGTGTTTGAGATGCTTTCAGTTCTTCCTCTCTTTTTTTGTTTCATTTAGTTATTGTTCGATTAATTATGTTGATACTGAGTTGGTTGTGACATGTGTTTTATGTTTGAAAGGGAGCGACAGAGCGGGTTTTCCTAGAGTAAGTACTTTACCACCGGAGATTCTGAACTCTGGGAAGTTAGAGCCGCCTGCGGGCTTGGAAAGATCAAGGACTGAGAGGCAAAGGCGTAATAATATCCTTGCTGAAGAGGCTGCGCAAATTTTTGATGACCGACTCTCTATGCAGCAGAAGGTAATATTATGACGTATTGCCAATAAACTTTTAATATTTTGCTTTTTGGTTGAATAGGTCATCAGGTTCTCATCTCACATATCCTGTTGCTGATATCCAAAATAAAGCTACAACTATTTTAAGGATTAATTTTCTTTTGTAAATTTATCTACTTTTGAGGAGCTCTGTGTAGCTTGTATTTGAGGTTGGTCATGTAGTTATGCTTGGTGTAGTTGCATTTTTAAATCTTATAATAATTCAAATTCATTTAAATTAACTGCATTACCTTACATATGTTTGTTGTTTATGAAGAAGGTGAAATGTAATACAGAATGAAATAAGAAGAGCACTTTTTATTTTCATGTTCCAAAGGCCCTTGAGTTTATGATTGGTGCAGCCTTCATTTCCACCTTGTTTTCTTTTTTCTTTTGTTAGTTTTTATCACAACTTGCTCAACTCCTTTTGTTTTTATTTTTTCACAGTATATGGACCTGCAATTTCAGAGTTCATTACAAAATATTTCAGTCTGTATAATTGTCATGGCATGACTTGGATTTTAATATAATAGTTAGCTCAACTTTAATTTTGAATGAATTGCATGCTGGGGTCTTTGTTAAATATTTAAAACATTGCAGCTCAAATTGTTGAACAGAATTGCTACCGTTAAAGATGATGGCACTGTAGAATTCGAAGTTCCATTAGATGTTGAACCTCCCCTTATTGGCGTTGGAACGGAAAATGTACGTAATGAGGTTGATGAAGAGCCTCTTGATGCTACAGAGCTGCAGGATATTCCTCCATTGCAAATTGTAATGCTTATTGTTGGAACTCGTGGAGATGTGCAGCCATTTGTTGCAATTGGAAAGCGACTGCAGGTACTTACCACAATATTGCAATAGTTGCATTCGACTTAACATTCAATCTCCATGACTTATGACTTCAATTTGACACTTGTTTATAATTGAAGAGTGCCATTTTGGGGTGTCAGGCTATTTTCTTAGTCTGTCATGTTTTTCTTAGTCTGTCAAGTTTAAGTTTCAGCATGTTGTGAGTGTCATTTTTGCTTCCACATCGTCCAGATCTCATAGGTGGTTGCATGTCAGTTTCATATACTTAATATGTTCCTCCCACGTATTAGTAACCATCATCATATTTCTGACTTGATCCTTTTTTCACTTTTCCTCTAATGTCTCTCTAACTATTTGCTATGTTCCGCATAACTAATACATCTTCCAGCCACAAGAAAGCCATGTAAAACTTGGGCCAAGTTAGCAGACTCCAGAATCTTGCATGGTTTGGGTCTCGTTTGTGTGGTTATTTTGAGTTTACATTGGTTACTTCTCATTCCATTTCATATTATACACATTTTATATGGTTGAGGAAGTAAACGTAACTTCTGAAATTCCTCCTTGGGCTTTTTGTGGTATGTTGATGGGGATACTTGGGTGCAGGATTATGGACATCGTGTAAGATTGGCTACCCATTCCAATTTTAAAGAGTTTGTCTTGACATCTGGATTGGAATTCTATCCCCTTGGAGGGGATCCAAAAGTCCTTGCAGGATGTATGTTACTAACACTTGTACATTATTGCAGCTGATATTGCGATTGGTCGAGTATTTTAATTTTTCTTATTTTGTGATTTATTTTTCCTTCTATTCAGTGTTATTAATGGAGGATGGTGGTAAATGGCGGTTTGCCAAAAATCCGCCATAGTGGCCGCCGTCATAACGGCCATCCTTCACAAATTTAGCATGGCGGAGTGTAAAAAATCCGCCACGCCATACCGCCATTGAAATGATGTATGCAGTCTGCAAGTATTGATTGATTATGGTGATTTGTGTAGTTTATTTCCTTGACTCCAACTGTTTCAACAGATGCCTGATCTATGCTATAACTGTCCTTGGTGTATATGAGCTCTGCAACAGCCTACAACATTGGGGATAAAATTATGGAGATAATATTTGTTTAACTATCTTTGTGCGATTTGGAACATATTCCTTAGATTAATTTGTCTTAGATGCTGAAAGACAATACCTTCTTGATGTATAAACACATCTTATGTATTTGCAGAAACCTTTTTACGCTTACATGTCTCTCAGAGAATTTGCATATAAGTTAATTTCAAATAGCAAATTACAACCTCTTTTTTCTGGAAAGAGGTTAAGTCGATAACTTTGCCAGTTGAGGAGGATAACAATGCAGCTGAATCAAATTCAATTGGATGGAATTAACACCAGGCAGAAGTTCAGTACAATCGGCTACTGCTGGGTTTCTTACTTTCTTACATTTCTACATTTCTCGCCTGAGAAAGCCTACAAGACTAGAGTCTAGAAGAGTTAATGCTATATCACCTGCCTTTTGCGTGATTGTTATAGCATGTTAGAATTTACTGTGTGTTGCTTAACGAAACATGGTCTGGAGTTTTAACCACATGATTAATTATTACACATTGTTAACATGGTACAAAAGTATTTTATTATATTCAAATACTGCATTTAGCAGTAGAGATCATTATGATGCTGTGCTGGAGCAACTTTTTTAAACTTGACATTTGATGCTCAAAATCTTCGTAGCATGAAAACTGACACTTGATTTGTGCAGATATGGTTAAAAACAAGGGGTTCTTGCCTTCGGGGCCATCAGAAATACCTATACAAAGAAACCAAATAAAAGAAATCATATATTCATTGCTTCCAGCATGCAAAGAGCCTGACATTGACTCTGGAATTCCTTTCAAGGCAGATGCAATTATTGCTAATCCTCCAGCCTATGGTTAGATAATGTGACTTGTTAGTCATTCACATGTTTTACGGGCTGCTCCAAGTTATTTAACTGGATAACAAGGAATGCCCTTGATATGATGCAAGAAAGGGAACTCATAATTTGTCATATATGACCATATATTTACATATATAAAATTTCCATTAATGTTGTGTATGTATATGTGAGTGTGCACACATAGAACTTCTGTTTTCATGCCCTGTCCTATTCTAAAGTGTTGTAAGTACTCGATTATTATCATATGGTGTCCCTGTTGTATTCTATACTGCAAAGCATGTGGTAAACTCACAAAATTGCAGATACCGACCGTCAATTTAACTATGAACCTAAATGACTGATATCTTTTGTGAAAAATGTGAGGTCTTGTCCAATCACTTTGTATTAAGAGCTCTCACATACGGTCTCCTATCTATTCTGCTTCTACTGTCTGTTTAAAAATGAGCTCTATCAACTAAACCGGCGATTACTGCAGGGCATACACATGTTGCTGAGGCGTTGAAAGTACCTATACATATATTTTTCACAATGCCATGGACGTAAGTCTCCTGTAGATGATTTTGAGCCATGTTGAGATATGTGTTCTATTCTTTTTGCTTACAAACAAATGATTTCTGGTCGATGCCTTCATAAATCTTCCTTTTTGTTAATGTTTGCCAGGCCTACAAGTGAATTCCCCCACCCGTTGTCTCGTGTTAAGCAATCAGCTGGATATAGAGTGTGTTTGAAGAATCTGTTTATTTTGTATTTCTTTCAATGTCTTTGTCTATTAAGTGTCATCACTGTATTCCTTCTTTTTATGATATCTTTTCTTGAATGATGTTGCAGTTATCGTATCAGATTGTTGACTCCTTGATTTGGCTAGGAATAAGAGACATGATAAATGATCTTAGGAAAAAAAAGCTGAAGCTGCGGCCTGTTACATATTTGAGTGGTTCTCAAGGGTCTGAGTCCGATATTCCACATGGATATATTTGGAGTCCTCACCTTGTTCCAAAACCAAAAGGTGGTCTCTTTTCATATGAAAACGTCTTACCCTTGAGGCATATAGTTAATGTGCCAAGTAAATAAGCTGTATGCCGTAACTTTTAACCATGACTTGATTAGTTGTTGCTATTGAACTTCAGCTATTTCTTGTGTGATCTGTTTTGTCCTACTACTATTTTTTCATGCTTATATTGTTAGTTGCTGATTGAGCTTATAGCCATTTTGTCTTGTAGATTGGGGACCCAAGGTTGACGTTGTTGGATTTTGCTTCCTTGATCTTGCATCAAATTATGAACCGCCTGAGTCACTTGTAAACTGGCTCAAAGTTGGTCCGAAGCCTATCTATATAGGGTTTGGCAGTCTTGTGAGTATCCCGAGCTCAGAGAGAAAGAACCTTTCTGTGTTTCTCTGAAGAGAGATTGTATGATTTATGCCTTGGTGATATTTGATATGAAATTAACTTTTCTCGACCTCAGTCACTAAAGAATCATTAACATGCTATTTGACGCTTACTGTCTCTTGTGTTTGGGGATTGATGTGTAGTCATATTGGATAAGCATTCTGAGCGTTTGAAAGAGACACTTTGTTCGAAGGATATTGGGAAATTTAACTTATTGGTTTGAGTACTTTGACAAAAGCCTTTTGAACAATAGTTAATGGATTTGAAAGCACCGTCTTTGTTTATCACATTGCATACTTGTTGGAGTTCTACCACTTATTCTTTCCAGATGATTAAACTACAAGAATTTCATGGACTGGATGCAGTACGTTGTGTTGTAATCTCACTATTTCTGATAGCTTTGAGTTTGATGTACTTCTCTTTTATGTTTTTCTCATCTGTATCCTCACGTTTCAAGTTGGCATCATTATGTATTGGGGTTTTCATGATTTTTTCATGCTTGAGTTTTCTTATTTTTCCTTTTCTACAGAAAATCTAGTGTTTTTCAACTGTAACCTTCTCTTCTTCTTCTCTCAGCCTGTTCAAGAGCCTGCGAAAATGACGCAAATAATTGTTGAAGCTTTACAAATAACTAAACAAAGGGGAATCATTAACAAAGGCTGGGGTGGCCTTGGTAACTGTGAGTTATCAATCCTTCTTTACTCCTCCTTACTCATGAGTCATGACATTGACATATATTTCGCTTGAATTAGACTTAATCCAAAACCCAATCTTTCTACAGTGGCAGAAGAAAAGGATTTTGTATACCTGCTAGATAACTGTCCCCATGACTGGCTTTTTTTGCAGTGTGCTGCTGTGGTGAGTTGTTTAGTTTAAGTTTTCTGGTTCTCATTTATAACTTATTGCTTTTGTTTAGGGAGAAAATAGGAGCCTTTTGCTAGTTGGTGGGCCCTCTGTGATATTTAGTGATTTATAATTTAGTGATTTTTCCAATTTGTTGGTCAGGTGCACCATGGCGGAGCTGGAACAACAGCTGCTGGTCTTAAAGCTGCGGTGACTATTTACAACAAGAGTGTTGTCAACTTATTTTTGTATTGTGCTGTTACCCATTGACTGCTTTTATTTCATTTTTGTTGCCAAATGCAGTGCCCGACAACTATAGTCCCGTTTTTTGGTGACCAACCTTTCTGGGGAGAAAGAGTACATGCCAGAGGTGTAGGCCCTCCACCTATTCTGGTGGACGATTTTTCTCTTCAAAAGTTGGTCAATGCAATTAGAGTTATGCTAGACCCCGAGGTATTGTTGAAGAAGTATCCCACTGATAAATTCATTTTTTGGCAAACACTTCCTAAATTAAAGAGAGTTGCAAAAATTCCCAGTTAGTTTTGAAAATTCAAAATCCTCGTAACCTAATGAAGAAAATGGATGTATATTTTCAGTTTTCGAATGTGAACCAACATTTATTTGTCTCTTTCCCTTTTTTTCTCTTTTGGTGCAGGTGAAGGAGCGTGCGGTACAACTTGCAAAGGCGATGGAGAACGAAGATGGGGTTGCAGGAGCAGTGAATGCATTCTTTAAACATCTCCCTCGTAAAAAGGTTGAGCCTGATCCTGAACATACGCCGTCTCACATTTTCTCCATTCGGAGATGCTTTGGCTGTTCCTAAATGTGTACGGAAAAATATAATATTTGGTCTTTCCACACTATGATGATTACTGTAATTACATGCCATTATGTTTTTGTTTATACCAAATTATCTGTAGGGCTTTGGGGTTGTGCAGCATTTTAATTGGATGTTTTTTTTTTTTCCTCCCAGACTAGCGACTAGGGGTGTTCACGGTCCGGATTGGTCCGGTTTTAGCCCAAACCATAACCAAACCGGACCTAACGGTTAATTTTTTTTCTTGTCCATAACCGGACCGGTTTTATTTTTTAACCGACCACAATCCGGACCGCATTGGACGGTCCGGTTTGGCGGTTAATCGGTTAAATCCAAAACTTGTTTTGGGCCTTCAATTTTTATTTTTTTCATTTTGGGCTTAATTTTTGTTTTTCAATTTTGGGTCCTAAAGAGATTATTTGGGCTTAAAAATTAAGAAAAACAACAGTAATGAAATAAAAAGTACACAATTCGTCTCATAAGCATAAAAATGCACATTTCCTCCCATAAACATAAAAATACAAAAATGATGAAGATTAATTATGTAAACTGAACTCAAGCAAACATTCATTTTTCAGTCAGTTTATACACCTGAAATAATAAGAGCAAAGCATTCATAGTGAATGTATTGTATTTGTCGGGCATAGTGAATGACCGAATGTATATATATATTTGTTATAGTTTTTTAATATTTACCGGTCCGGTCCGGTTAAACCGGCGGTTTACCGCAGGTAATCCATTAACCGGACCGGTTATTCCGGATTTTTAAAAAAATTAACCACCGGATTTTTTAAGGCTTTTTTAACTGACCATTTAACCGATCCGCGGTCCGGATTGACGGTTTTTTCCGGTTAAAACCGGACCGTGAACACCCCTACTAGCGACTATGTTTTACAACCTAAATTTTATTGACATAATGCCTCTTGAGAAAGAATTATATTTTAAATTTGAATATATGATATCCCCTTAATATAATTTCAAAACGTGTTGAACCTAAATAGTTGGCATACACACTTCGGAAGTTTACTTGACAATATTACATGCTTCGGCTTTTGGTTCGGATAAAAATTAATATAATTATATTTCAAAATAAATAGATTCGGAAATAAAATACTTAATAAATAAATTTTTTGCTTAATCCCATTCACTCCAACTCTAAAATAAATAGTATTCTTATTTTATATGCGGTGTAAATAGGATTTTTTTTTTTGCTTAATATTATAATATTATAAAAAATATCAGTGTTTTAAAAGTCGCTAGGCGCCCGCTAGGTGCTCGACCAGTACCTAGCGCCTAGAGCGCCTAGTCGGGGCCTAGGCGGCGCCTAATTGGAGCCCAGAAATCAATAGTAAATACCTTATTTTTTATTTATTTTAACTATCTACAAAATAAAATTATCTCAACATATAATAAATTTACACACCAAAGTCCAAATAATAATATTAATATATATAAAAGAAAACATGAGAACAAAATAATGTAATTAGTATTTAAATAAATTAAAAAAAATTAAAAAATTGCCGCCGATCCCGCCTAGGAGCGCCTAGGTCCGCCTACGCCCGCCTAGGCGCCGCCTAACCGCCTGGCTGTCGAGCCCGCCAAGGCCGTCTAAGAGCGGCCGCCTGGCCGATTTTTTCTGTCGATTTGTACAAATCGGAGGCGCCCGGGCACCGCCTAGCGCTAGGCGCCGCCTAGGCCGATTTTTAGAACAGTGTAAAATACTTAATGAATAGGATTTTTTATTAATCTGATTCCCTCCAACTTTAACATAAATAGGATTCCTATCTTATATGCCATATAAATAGATGTGGTGGCAGTGCTGCCGTCGTGGGTCATCGGGCGCGCCCCTATTCAATTCGATTCGAGTACTCCCCTCTTATATCTTTATTTACCATAATTGTTTCGTTTTATTGGATTATGCAGAGGAAAATAGGTATGAGATTTTGATTGTGTTAAGTGAACTTTAGTTTTGGAGTTACTGCGGACTTATTTCTAATGTCATATTCCAACTTATGCTTTTGATTGTTTATATTATATTTCAAAATGAATTACGTGAGATATTTAAAATATATGTTTTATGTTTTGTGAAAATAGATTAGCTGAATAGACCTTAAATATTTTGTTAAGATAACGTTTTTTTATTGTTTTTTTCTTTGTATATACAATTTTTGGTTTGATGTTTGACGGAGAAAGTAAAGAGGGCTTATATGGTGGAAATCAACAGACACTGAAAGGTATGCATTTGCTTGTTTTCTTTTCCTTGGTTTTTTCGATTTGTTTTCTATGTTTTTGTTTTGAAGAGGTAGCGTGTTGGTCGCGATTATGAAAGTCAGCCATTACAGATGTCACCTCCGTTGTTGGCCTGTCTACGTTCGTCACTTTTAACTTTTGAAGGTAAATAAATTTTTCATGGGTTTTTAAAAGTTAATGTCATCTCTTTTGTTTGATTAATTCGTTTTACGAATTTTTTAGCTTTTGTTTGGTGAAAACATATTTTTTTAACTTAATAATATATATTCTTACAAAATTTTGCAGGAAATTCATTTTTTTGGAAGGGAGAAAAATCCGAGTAGCTTTCATCGGGCCGGCGGTCGGCTTTTACTCCATGTTTCGAGGCTTTCACTTAATCTGGAAGGTGATTGATCGATGCCCCTTTCATGAATTATTTTTCGCTCTTTATTTTTTTTTTTTGATTTTCAAATGGATCCGCGGCAAATTGTCGGCCTTAGTCCATTTTTTCCTCTTTGTGTTGTAGTTTTCTAATTACGGTAACTATATTTAGGGGTTGAATGATAAGTTTCTGATTTTCAGTTTTTGGGTCTGCCCACGTATCTATTTTGTGTTTGTTTGTTTGAGGTCGTGATTTGTTCTTTGCACTTTTGTGTAGGGAACTGAAAATAGGGTAGGATAAGTTTTTGTTTGAGGGGTTGAAGGAAGGAGTTGAAGATTTTGATCCCCTTGTCATTACTCAAGCTTCGTCCCAAAGTATTCTTCCATCAGTTCTTTAATATATGTAGAAATATGCTTTGTTTTGTAGTAATAAGATCGTGTGGACTTGGTAGAGTTGGTTTTTATTTGCGTGGATAATAAATAAGATTTTTGCTTAATCCGATCCCCTCCAACTCTAAAAGAAATAGGATTCTTATATGCCCTGTAAATAGGATCCCCTATTAATGTTGTGTATAAAGAAATTTTTCAAAATTTAAAATAATATCGACTTTGGTATTTTCTATTTTTGCACTTTTATATGACAACATGTGTTTTTTCTATTATTTTATGTTTTATATTTTTTTTCAAACAACTCGTGTAGTACACGGGTGTCGTACTAGTGAAATATGAATGTCAAATAAAATATCGTAATATGAACCAACAAGTTGTTAATTTTTTATATATGACAAGTAATAAATTTATGGTAATTAATAAATAAAATCAATGAGAATAAATAATATTAGTTTTGTAAGAAAGAAAAAACACTATTGTAAAGAAGAGAAATATAAATATATACTTACCAAAATTGCTAATAAATTATTTGTGTTAAAACACTAACATGATTTCAAAACAATAATTTATATACAAATCAAACTACGAAGCACATAATTTTGCTTCTCACATAATTTTGCTTCTCGAAATATGAGTCTATTAGGTAGGCGCAACACATTTTGCATATATAAATGTATAGAGCTTGTTAAATTTACAACAGAAAATTGAGAAGTCGATTATGTAGAAGAAGACCTAATTCTATTTCTTCGCCAATCTTATTAAAATCGTAGAACTCATTCAATTTGTTCGAAGTTGAATTCACAATGCTCATCTGACAATTCACTGTATATTTCATGGCATAGACCATCTGTTAGTAGTTTAACGAGGTATTCATTGTTTATATTGGTTCTTCGACCTATTCATTAGCAATTTGTGTTTTGTAGTCTCCTTGTTTGTGCTATCATTGGTCCAATAATTTCATTAATTCACGTGTTTTATTAATTAACAAGCGCGTAGCCCGTGCGATGCACGGGATGGTATATTTTCCTGAAATGTTTAACGTGTGAAATATTAAAAATAATATAATTTATATATATGTAACAAAAATAAATGGATTGCAAAGAAGGGAAAAAATATAAATTATTGAACACTTTCTTTGTTAAGTAAAATTTGTGAAGCTTTGATATATTTGATTATGAATAGAAAAGTATGAAATACTACCTGCGGACCGTTGAGATAAATGAGAAGATTTACTTAGAATATATAGAATAAATATTGAGATAATAATTTACCTTTTACCTAGTATATATAAAATTAATATTGACATGATGTGGGAAAATTATGACGAATTATGACATAAATTCGTTTAGAAGTTAGTAGAAAATATTAAATAATTAGATTTATTTTTTATTTTTTAAATCCTTACAGTAATTCGTACGCTCCTTTTCATACGCTTAATTTATCAAGTTTACACATACAAATCAAAATTAATGCAACTCGAAATATTATATAACAAATAAAATGAGATTTTTTATCTAACATTTAGTATATTGCCGGAAAATCTTTTATAAATCTTATTCTCTTTTTATGCACATAGATATTAAAGAATGAGTAAAAAAATTATCTAAATATGTTTATTTAAAAGTATCTAATATTATATGTGTTAACAATGTTACAACCAAAAGACATTAAGAATACGTAGACTATTATATAACATATGTGAAAGTATTAAAAAATTTTATATTATTATCGAAAAATGTGAAATTACCTCAATTCTGTCTAGACTATTTTACAAGAAAAATATATATACTTAAAGTTAGCATACACACACATATATATATCCTTAAAGTTTGCCAACTAACAATTTTATATCCTTAAAGTTTGCCAACTAACAATTTTATATATAAAAACACGTTTAAAGTTTACATATTTTACAAAAATTAGACTGCTCTCAGTTTATATAAAGTTTGTTGCTCTCATATTCGGATAACGTATTATGCATTTAATGAAAGCACCCGACGATACAAATTTATAAATATTAATTAAAATAATTTTCTAAATTATATAAAATTGAAATAACAAAGGTAAATATTACTTTAAACATATTTTACAAAAATTAGACTGCTCTCAGTTTATATAAAGTTTGTTGCTCTCATATTCGGATAACGTATTATGCATTTAATGAAAGCACCCGACGATACAAATTTATAAATATTAATTAAAATAATTTTCTAAATTATATAAAATTGAAATAGCAAAGGTAAATATTACCTGTTCATCATGAAACAGTATATGGGATGCGATTACAGCTCTCACGTTCGAGTTTCAATAATGCGTGGTGGTTTGTTTCTTTTGTTAACGGAATCAAGTGTACCCTAGCCTGGAAGCACTATATTATATTGTATTGTATATGCCACGAAAAATTATTCTCTGTATTTTTTTTCT